CCAACACTTGTTGTTTCCTGTTGTGTTAATTACAGCCATTCTGAGGGGAGTGAGGTGATATCTCATTGTAATTTTGATTTGCATTTCCCTCATAGCTAATGATGTTGAACATCTTTTCATGCGAATGTTGGTCACCTGTATATCTTCTTTGGAGAAATCTCTGTTCAGATCTTTTGCCCATTTTTTAATGGGATTATTAGTATTTTTGTTGTTGAGATGTATAAGGTCTCTGTATATTTTGGATATTATCCCTTTATCATGTATATGGCTTGCAAATATCTTCTCCCAGTTGTTAGGTTGTCTTTTCATTTTGTTGATGGTTTCCTTTGCTGTGCAGAAGCTTTTTAGTTTGATGTAGTCCCATTTGATCATGTTTTCTATTGTTTCCCTTTCACGGTCAGACATGGTACTTGAAAATCTGCCGCTAAGACTAATGTCAAAGAACATACTGCCTATGTTTTCTTCTAGGAATTTCATGGTTTCAGGTCTAACATTCAAGTCTTTATTCCATTTTGAGTTAATTTTTGTGCATGGTGTAAGATAATGGTCTACTTTCATTCTTTTTCATCTGGCTGTCTGGTTTTCCCAACACCATTTATTGAAGAGATTTTCCTTTCTCCATTGTGTGCTCTTGGATCCGTTGTCGAAAATTAGCTGTCCATAGATGTATGAGTTTATTTCTGAGCTCTCAATTCTGTTCCATTGATCTGTGTGTCTGTTTTTCTGCCAGAACTATGCTGGTTTTATTACTATGGTTTTATAGTATATGTTGAAATCAGGAAGAGTGATATCTCCAAATTTGTTCTTTTTTTCTCAAGATTCCTTTGACTATTTGGAGTCTTTTGTTGTTCCATACAAATTTTAGGATTCTTTGTTCTATTTCTGTGAAAAATATTGTTGGAACTTTGAAAGGAATTTATTGAATCTGTAGGGTGCTTTAGGAAGTATGGGCATTTTAACCATGTTAATACTTTCAATCCAGGAGCATGGAGTATCTTTCCATTTCTTGATGTATTCCCTAATTTGTTTAAAAAATGTTTTATAGTTTTCAGTGTACAGATCTTTCACCTTTTTGGTTAAGCTTATTCCTAGATATTTTATTATTTTTGTTCCAACTGTAAATGTGATTGTATTCTTAATTTCTCTTTCTGCTACTTCATTGTTAGTGAACACAACTCATTTTTATATGTTGATTTTGTATCCTGCGGCTTGACTATATTCATTTATTATTTCCAAAAGGTTTTTAGAAGATTCTGTAGAGTTTTCTATCTATAAAATCATGTCATTTGCAAATAGTGATCGTTTCACTTCTTCCTTTTCAGTTTGGATTCGTTTTATTTCTTTTTCTTGCCTGGTTGCTGTGGCTAAGACTTCCAATACTATGTTAAATAAGAGTGGTGAAGTGGATATCCTTGTCTGGTTCCTGTTCTTAGAGGGATGGCTTTCTGTGAGACTAAGGACACCAAGATGACCCTGAAAATCAGAGTTGAGTATTTTTTCCCTTTTTATTGTAGAGGTTGTGGTAAAGCAGGGTGAACTTCAGTGTGCTGACTATCCTTTTTAGGATGCTGTCCAATGTAGATTTTCTTAATGAGCTTGTTGCAGCAGAGAGGATGATTTCAGATAATCAGAAGTTTTACTTATAGTGGCATTTCTATTGAGTCCACATATATCAGAGGCTGTTAACCTTTCATGTAGCAGATCCTGATTATTCAGCATCCTCTATGACAAATTTACTTTTTCCTCTCACTGAAACTATAATAAGCACCAGTGTTAGTTCAGCAAAACAAGAGCCGTATAAAAGAGTAAATTATAAACTTGAGTCTTCAATAATAAGAACCATTAGATTTAACAGATCATCTTGGAATTTATTTAAATCCTCTCAAAATTATAAAAGTATAACTAGACTTTTTAATGTTGATATAAGAAACAAATCCAGATATAGCTGTAAAAAGAGATACAGACACTGGTATAAATGTAGATGCAGATGCAGAGGTGTTTTCTGTTTCCTTATATCAAATATCTCCTCCTGGAGGAGAGGGGGCAGTGTATCTGTCTAGTCATGTTTATTTTTTTATGACAATTGATGGTATATACTGCTTTGAGAATAGCATCTATGTCTATATTTACTAAAGTAATTGAGGAAACAATGTGGTAAGTTACATGAGTTTATTGAATTCCAGTAAACGATTGTGTTTATATTTAATTTAATTTCATTCATTATGTAGTCTTCATAAACGTATTACCAAATAAGGAGTTTTTAAATTAACTTTAATTACAGAACTGATACTGAAACATAAACTCTTTAATAAAAATACTGTATACCTCTAAAAGCCCCTTTGGCCATCACCCCCTTTATTTCTCAGAAGTAAATCTTTCCTTCCACACATTCTCCAATTAATTTATGAGCACAAATGTTCTCATAGAAACTACACAGTAGTCTGTGGTTGTGATTTATTTTAACATACAAGTTATCATACTGATTACCTTTGTGTACTTTATTATATTTTCCACTCAAAAATATATCTTAGTGATTTGTATCATAGTAAATATGCCACAAGGATCCAAAATTTAAATTTCTACCTTGTTTTCCATAATAAGAACGTACCACATCTTATTTCCATTCTACTGTCAGATAGATCATTTCCATTTTCCAAATTTGAAAATCTGCTATGAATATATTTTTCTATGTTTTCTGGAGTATTTTCACTGGGCCACTCACCAAAGTGTTATATAAACAGCCTTTTTAACTTTATTTTTATGAAGTTGATGAGTAGGAGTAGTATCTCATTGTTGTTCAAGCTTTATTTCCCTGATTCTAATGAGGTTGGGCGTTTTTATATATGATATTGGCTAGTAGTAATTTCCTTTCTGTGTATTGACTAGTCAAATGTTTTCTTTTTTAGAAAAGTGTGTTGCTTATCTTTAAATTATTGCTTTGTAGGATTTATATTTACACTCATTTTGTCACTTTTTTAAATATTTTGTTCAAGGTGGGCACAAAGGGTGAAGTGGTGCACCTATAATATGACTGACAAATAATAACATACAGCTGAAATTTCACAACGTTGTAAACTATCATAATCTCAATAAAAAGTAAAAAAACACTTTGTTCATATAGAATTTTTTCATACAGAAAGTATAAATATATATTTTATGAATTTGCTTTCTGTAATTTGCTTAAAACAAATCCCTACTCTATGAAATAAATCCATTATAATTATTTCTCAAATATTTTTCCTAGTTTTATTTGACACATTTATATCTTTCAACCATCTGGAATATAATTTTTATGACTTGTGAGGTATTTTTTTCCTCCAGAGGGAGATTGAAAGTCCTAACATCAGTTACTGAAAAGTTCATTATTTCACATCAATTTTAAATTTCAATTCAGACATAGAATAAATTCCAATATTTTATGTGTTTATTTATTGGCTGTCCTATTGTCTAGCTATCTGCTTTCATCAATTCTTTAATTGTCATAGTTTTCTAATATACTTCCATTCTGAAAGGTATGTCTATATTCTTCATTCTTTCTTTTAAAAAGTTAGCTTAACTACTGTAGATATTAACTGTTTCTGAATTTTGGAATCAGATTTTCAAGTTTCATGAAAGTTTTTGTCAGAATGTTTGTTTTAATTATTGAATGCATTGATTAATTTGGGAAGAATTGACATCTTTTCTATATTGATCCCCCCTAGCCATTAACATGGTATATCTTTTTACTTGTTTCAATATTTTTATATTTTTTAACACCATTCTATATTCAAGGAGGGAATTTTATCTGTAAGGACAAATAACCACAGTTAAAAGAATCTTTAACATTTTATTTTAAACAAATCACACTGCAGCTCAGAACCATTGCAATTGGAGTTTTGCTTGTGTGACAGTGATATTGCCAGAGATTTTGCAAAAAATCAGACCACAGGGTGTTAACTTGGGATTCATGGATTCAAGTTCAATCGAAAGTCCATGAACCTCTTAAAATCCTATTAAAAATATCTTTATATGTCAAATGTGCATTTTCCTAACACAATGTCACAGGAACTCAGAGGGAATAATGGACAGTGTTCAATTGCTGTTATAGCTCTTCACAATTAGGCTGACAGATTTTATCAATGTGTTGGGTTAATCTTTTTATAAAAATGAACCTCGAGTTTAGCTGTTTGTGACACATTTTAGATGAGTTTGGAGAAAGGAAGTAAGAGATGTAGTATAATATTTTACACCAAAGAAATATTTTCTTTTTAACTAAAATATTATAAGGATTGGTCCCAGGAGCCTGTAATGAGCCTGGCAAAGAAAGTTAGTGGCTCAATTCAAAGAGATACAAGATAGTGGAACAGATCTAGTGAAGAAGAGTGTCTGGATGCAGTTTGCCCCTCAAGTGTGCTGCCATAAAAGAAAGTGTCAGAAAATGTGACCAAAGGAGAAAAATGATGAGAACTCCTTGCTTAGACTGGGAAGTGAACTGTGCTCTACCCGTAGGTAGAGATTGTATGTATTTTGTACACTGCTATACTGTTAGTACCAATTACAGGGGTTGTATCATAATAAACCATCAACATACTTTCATTGAATAAATAAATGGCTTTTAAAATAAATCAATAATTTTAAAAAGCTCAATGTTTTCGAGTATATTAACTTCCCTCTCTATATGATCAAACTCACAGAAGCAATAGGACAGAAAAACATCACAGAATTTATCCTCCTGGGACATTTTAGCTATGAGGATGTGAAGGTTGCCTGGTTTGTCCTGTTCTCGCTTTGCTATATTGCAGTTCTCTCAGGAAACCTGCTCATTCTTCTTACCATCAGTAGCAGCCACCTCAGTGAGTAGCCTACATGCTTTCATGGATGTCTGCTTCAGCTCCACAGTGGCCCCCAAACTGATCACAGACTTACTGGCCCAGTAAAAGACAATCTCCTACAATGGCTACACACCCCAGATGTTTTATGCTCACTTCTTTGGTGCCACTGAGACCTTCATCTTGGTGGCCATGGCCTATGACCACTTTGCAGCCATCTGCAGGCCCCTTCACTACATAGTCATCATGAGCAGACAAGTGTGCTATGTCCTTGTGATGGCCTCTATTATGGCAGCATTTATCCATTCAATCCTGCATGTATTGATTATTATTGAACTTCCCTTCTGTGGTCCCAATCAGATAGACCACTATTTCTGTGATGTATTCCCCTTGCTGAAGCTGGCCTGCATGGACACCAGCTTATTGGTCATTGTGACCATTACCACCACAGGAGTGATGTCCATTTTGACCTTTGTTGCCTTGGTAATTTCTTACATCATCGTCCTGTCAACCCTGAGGACTCATTTATCCGAGGGCCACTGCAAAGCCCTCTCCACTTGCAGCTCACACATCACTGCTGTGTTCACGTTCTTCTTGCCCCTCATCTTCACCTACGTCCCCACTGTTGATTCTCTCAGTGATGATAAGCTTTTTGCCCTATTTTACACCATGATTGCACCCATATTCAACCCTCTCATCTACACACTGAGAAACACAGACATGAAGAACACCATGAGGAAAGTGTGCTGAGATACATTGTTTCAAGGGAAATGAAGACAATGGTGTTCAAACCTTTGGCAGATCCTGTTCTATCTACAGAATCATTAATGCCAACAAATGCACAGATACAGAGATGTGGTGGGCTGTCATGAAAATTTGCAAGCCCTGAAGAGATAAGGACCGTCAGCCACTCTCTTTCTGTTACTTTTCTGAGACTGTATAGAAGAGAGGTGGACCAGATGATCTCCAGATCTCTTCCAGCTCTGACAATCCGGAATTTATGTCTGACTTTTGAACCCTTCTGCTTTTTATGATCCATGACGTAGTGGGCATTATAGCACTTTTATCAGGGCAAATTGTGGGTAAATTGTAAAGACTGCATGGTTTGGCAGTTGTGCCCTGCTTTAGGAAACAGGTATCTTGACTGAGATACCTCTCACAGATAGAGGTCCTAATCATTTCCATTTTTTCTTTTTTGAGGAAGATTAGCCCTGAGTTAACATCTGCCACCAATCTTCCTCCTTTCTGCTGAGGAAGACTGGCCCTGGGCCAACATCCATGCCCATCTTTCTCCACTCTATCTGTGGGATGCTTACCACAGCATGGCTTGACAAGTGGTGCGGAGGTCAGCACCTGGGATCTGAACCAGTGAACCTGGGCTGCCAATGCGGAACATGCAAATTTAACCACTGTGCCATCCAGCCAGCCGCAAGTGTTTCCATATTTTTGAAGTCTCCATTGCAATAAAAAAAAAAGCAATGATAAAATTATGTGTGTTGTATATTTTAAATCTTTAAATTAACATATTGGAGGTTTGATTAATTCAAGAATATACCTCATAATCCCAAATTCTACAGTTTGACCATGCTGTTCTTGGATAGGCCAGCTCTATATTGACATGTAACAAGCCCTTCTAAAACCTGTGTCTTATACTCTAAGCATTTAATTATCACTTATGTGTTCTTGGGTAAGCTGGGGTTCAGCTGATCTAGGTTGAGCTTGATGGGGCTTAATTCCAGACTTCAGGGTAGATTTGCATTCCTTACTTGTACATTTATCAGTGTATAAATCAGGGGGTTTAACATGGAGTGACAATGGTGTAAAATACAGCTGCCATCTTATCCTCTGAAAAGGCAGTACCAGGGTGCATACACATGAAAGTACAGGGACCAAAAATGAGGATGACCATAGCAATGTCGAAGCCACAGGTAGAGAGAGTTTTGCACCTGCCTTCTGCTGACTGCTTTCTCAGGGACACCAGGATGATGGTATATGAGGTTAGCAAGACAATAAATATCCTCAGTGATGACAGCACTGTTTGCTGTTACAACACCACCAACCACATATGTGTTTGTGCAGGCAAGTTCCAGCACAGGGTAGACAGCACAAAAGTAGTGATCAATCTCATTGGGTCCACAAAAGCATAGTTGGACTACGAGAGCCTCTTGGTTAGTGGAGTATAAGAAACTTCCCACCCAGATTCCCAGCAACATTTTATTGCATCTGTCCTGGCCCATTATAGCTATATAGTACAGGGGTTTACAGATAGCAACATAACCATCATAACCCATTATAGTAAGGATGATGATCTCAACCAAAGAAATGTTCCCCCAAGAGTTGCAACATGCACCCACACAGGAGATAGTTTTGCTCTTGGCTGGTAGGTCAAAAAGCATCTTAGGAGCTGTGACTGAAGAGTAACAAATGTCCACAAAAGACAAGCAATTGAGAAAGAAATACATAGGGGACTTGAAAAGGTTGCCCATGTAAGTTATCAGCATGATGAGGAGGTTTCCCAGAACGACTGTGTAGAAGAAAGAAAACACCCCAAAGCATAATTCTTCAACCTCTAGGTTCTAAGAAAGACCACGGAAAATGAATTGAGTTACATTGTTAATTTTTTTCCATGGAATTAATCTATGAGGCCAAGTTCCCAAGAGAATTAAATTATGAGAAAGAAAAACATAAGAAAGACCAGCAAAATTTACTTCTAACTCAAAACAAATGTATAGTCACAGTAGTTGAAAATGCAAAAATGGATGCTTACTGTTTCTTAGCATGTGTACTTAAAGAAATTGAAATTCACATATTCTGATCATCTTACCTCCACATGATAGTCGATTCATTCACTTCAGATGAGGAAACAAAGTCTAGCGAAATAAAGTAAATCCCCTAGTCACACATCTAACCAAGGATCTCACCTCCCTCACCTTTTATTAGGTTTTTTCATCTGTTTGTTTCTAAAAATTTAGTTAGTTCTTATTCTGTCCAAGGCACTCAATGTAATTTTGAAACACCTTCTGTGTTTGGGGATATTGTAACATTTAGATATCTGAAAAGATTCACTTTATTTTTGACACAGAAATGTAAACATATATCTGCATTTTTCCTTCTGAATACTGCCATGAGTATTCAAGTAGTTGAAACCAGGTGACCTCTGCAGGTTCTTCTTAAGAAACGTGGATCTTTTTGTACATGAATTTATGGTCCCCTATTTGATATTGTACGGGAGGAAGACATTTCCTCTACCCACTGTGGGTTCTTCTGGCCAGAGAACGAATTAAATTCACATGAGACAGAATAACAGGTGAAAATTAAACAAAGCTTTATAACATGCATACATGGGAGAGGTTCAGGCAACCTGAGCAACTTGCCAAAATGGCTGAAGCCCCCACCTTAAATATAATCTTCAGCTAAAGACAAAGGAGGACGTTGGGGGTAGGGGGAGTCACTTACAGGAGGTTACCAGACAAACACAGTAAACAGAAATAAGTTATTACACAGATTTAAGTCCTTGCCTTCTGCATTGATAAGAGTTTCTAGAGAAAAGGTCATCCCCCATTCTTCCTGGTATGGACAGGGAGACACCTTTACAGATGGAGATTTCCTTTACAATGTAAATGTCTCTTAACAAAGGGTAAGTAAATTCCGCTTTTCAGTTGCTTTCCTATCTGCAGTTTATTAAAAGTAATCAGCCTAAAATAATCCTCATGCCAAAGAGACACATCTTGAGGTGGCCAATTCCCATCCCCCACAATATCAAGCTCTCAGAGTCAAGAGGTGGTGTGGTGCAGTAGAAAGAGGACCTGATACAAACCTGATTCTGAGATAATGGTGCTGTAACTCTAGATAAATCATTTATCTTCTTGGGGCTTCTGTAATCCAATTTGTGAAATGATATAGTTTCAATTTCATTATCATCTATCATATTTACAGTAATTTCTACCATGAATTAAATCAATTCTCTCAGCCTGGAATAGCCATAAAACTCTGATAAGGAGGCAGAAATAAGAGAAGATAAAGCAATAAAATAAACCGCTGGAGGCAAAGCAAGATCTGTTTGATTTGAATCGAGGGAAGGAGAAGTCTTTGATAATTTCTGGATTCCTCAGAAATTACTTTGCCTTGATATTTTAAAGATTCGTCTGTTAATCAGAAAAAGAAAAAGAAAACCTCTGCCCTTTAATTTCACCATTCCTTCATGTATCCTTTTAATCTTTCATGTTTCATGCTAGTCTATATTAGCTCTTCCATGTAGGATAAATTAAATATTCCTGGAAGAGTTCATCACTGAAAGATACTTTAGTATACTGAAAGACAGGTTTAGGAAGAGGACAATATTTAGTTTAAATGGATAAGTCTTCAGTGATGGAATTTCGGGTACTCTAACAGGGTCACTGGAATGTATATGTGGAAAGGGGTATGTGGAATAGTTTTGATCAAAGGGGCTTACAAGTTATTCCTCAAACCAAGCCACAGATGTAAATTATTCCTTTATTTTTAGGTTAGGATAGGATTGCACAGAATCTTATATAATTATTAGGAATTTTGCCCACCTAAGGCAACTTCATTGCAAGTTAGTGCTTACAACTCTGACTGATCTCTGTTCTTGGCTATCCCTTTGAAGAAACATTGTGCCTTGCACTTCTAGCTTTTGGGAAACTACAGGGCTGTGTTTCCTCAGGTCTGTATAATAGTGTTGACAGAGCAGTCAGTACAAGTGTACCTTTTCTTATATATTACAAAATAATAATAATAGGAATAGGAATAATTCAAATTCAGACTCAAGCACATCCCTATGTTTTTTTTACATGCTCATTCCCCTCTGGTTTTTCTTTCTGAATTAAAAATTACTACTCTCACTGAGAGAGTCCTTCAACTTTAGAGAGCTCAAATCCTAGTAGTTTTTGACAACCATGAGTTGTGTTGCTTGCTTTTCATCTAGAAGACTGAGACTTGTTCCACCACTGTACATACGCTAAGTCCTAAAGGAATTCTTCTTTCTCCTTGAATCAAGACCCATCTCAAAGAATTCCTCTGTCAACTTTCTGAGCATTTCAAACATGGTAATGCCTCAATTTATTTTGAAATTATTGGCATTTTCTTATTCACCATCATGTTACCCTATGTGATAGTCACGTATGGATGCATTTCATTACCTTATCATCATCTTAATAATTGTATTCTCCCCTTATTTCTGAAAACAGGGTTGTTCTACCACATGCCCAGCTGGGTGGCCAGTGCAGGACAGGTTGCCCAGAGACCAAAGAAAAAACCCAGAGACAGCAAACAAGACATATTGGTTCACTGGGGAATTAACTTACAGGGAAGGTCCAGTGTGGCTGGTGGGACAGGCAATATGCACCCACTACTGCCCCCTGAGAGAAGCTTGTGTAAGTAGGCAGAGGAACAAAGGCTGCATGCTTGCCATGGGGGACTGTCCCTGTATGACCTGCATTCCGAGGGCCAGAGCCCCCATTAGAGGGCCTCTATGTTCCCTCAGACTGTGAGGGTCCTTGTTCTAACTATCTCACGAGAAAGCAGTTGGGTTGGCCAAGCCCAGGACTGTTATCATCATGAGTGCTGGCATGTAGTCCAGACAAGGAGCTTCAAGGATACATTGTTTTTAAAGGGGCACACTGGCTAGTGCCCCTACAAATGTCTTGCAATTGTATTACAGTTATTCACAATATAGATATTTAATTGAATTCTCTTTTTCTGCAAATGTTTTATATTAGTTTTAGAATAAA